GTATCATTTATTACAACAATTTATTATCTGTCTCTTATACACATCTAGATGTGTATAAGAGACAGGTGTAAAACATCATTTTTAAAATATCATTTATATTGTTAAAGCAATGTTTAACTACTATAACTTCTACGTACGTTAATACTTATGAAATCCCATGGTGACAAATACAAATGATAAGCATGAACATGGTTAATTGATATAGGTCTATTTATTACAAGTTATGAATGAATGATTGATATAATAGAATCGTGTTTTGAGCTATCAAAGACAAAACTATATAATAAAAAGAAATCAAATTATGCAATGATGATTTTGTATATTTGGCTAGACCAATAAAAATAGATTCCGACACGCTGAGCTATTTGTTCGACAGGGTCAGTTAAGATCGATGATGAAATAATTTCATATGAATGCTAGTCTTGCATCATTTTTCTTTCTATGGGCTCGCGCAAAATGTTATGGTTCTAAATTTATAAAGCGCAAAATAAAAAGTCTCATTTAAAAAAACAAATCCCCATTATGATGTCTATTGAGCTGAAGAACTTGACTCAGTTAGCGAGACTTTTGAGTGTTAAAATCTATTCTTATAATCTTGACTTTAACTGACCGAAATAAATAGGCCTAACCCTATAAAAACGAACAAGACAGTTCGGTTTCAAATGATTTACAATATGGTACTAAAAGAAATCCTTTTATCAATGTGACTGTCCGCTCCTTTAGCTGAATTTAGGGTCATACAACAACATACAATCAACATTTATTCTAATTCCGTATGTGGAGTACCGGTACCGTATTGACATGGAAATGGGGACACGAAGGTTAAAAAGTGGGAGGCCGAATAATAAGGGGGCATTAAAATAGGTTATTCTATTGCCAATCAACGGTATTATTTTCAGAGCATCCAGTAGGTGGGGGCGCCGGAGCATAAGTCTTTGTTTTACACATATAGGCCTAGGCCTAAACCCTTTTATTCTATGGTTTAAGGTCCTAATTTGCCATCTTTCTACGAAGGACGAAAACCTCCCTTCTTCCAATGACGATGTTCTTCAATTGACGTGATACATGTGATCAGGAGGGCGGCAGGGTTTCTATGTCGGAGGTTCCCGGTGTCCCACGAAGAGAGCATAAGTGAGCCTGACGGGAGTAGCTCAAAATCACTCGGAAATGGTCGGAAACTACCGTGTGACGTCGACGACCTGAAACTGACTGGCTGTTTATCTGGCTCTAACTTGGCATTGAACGCAATTAGGGGATTATGGTATCATGTTTCAAGACGGGTATATCTAGATAAAGTTCGACGTGAACCATATTTTTAGGGCCTTTTCAAAGGCTTATTTAATCGATGAGTTTATATTTTCTCTAATATGTAAAATGCATAGGCCTATAATTTTGTTTTCCTTCCTGACGAATTGTGAGCTCCTTCCCCCGTCACCGAACACCGGATCTTCAAAGTCTCCAATGAATTAGTTTAGTCTGAGGATCGGATGATGAAATAATTCCAAACTCAACGTCATTTTATTTTTATATAGGCCTAATGTAGTCTAATCCTGTGCTTACATCATTGCATGATATCTTAATTAACGTAAACATTTTACATAATGTTATGTGGTTTATAACAAAACATTGAGTTTAAATAATCAGACTCGTATACGGTCTAGAAAAAAAACTGATTGTTGTAAACTTAAAAACATCATCATGGAACAAAAAAAAATAGGCCTAGTTTTCAAATAATTATTTACGAACGTTAACTACGAAAGGCCCACAGAAATAGCGAAATATAATATTTATTTAGGGTGAAGAGGATTTTTTCATTCTAATTTTCAATTGCAACTTATAATATACAAATTAAATTTTTACTTTTAATTCTGCAGATTTATTATTGCTCATCGCTCCTCAGTTATTTTGGTCTAATTGGTTCAAATAATGGTTTGGTTATCTAGTTGCCACATCATAACCTTACTAAGCAATCTCGAACTTTCTACTCCCAAAACACGTCAACTTCCGTACACTCTGTTTTGTTTTCTTGGACACCGGCAAGATTTCCTCCCGCCCGCGACGATTGAAAGGAACACGTCCCTGGGAGACTGTAAACGTGGCTAAATTACACCAATCACAACACTTAAAAGCCTTAGACTGCCAACTCGACTGAATTTGGCCAATGGAAACCACTGTAAAATATACACTTGGTTGCAGTCTACTTCTAACTAACATCATATGAACTGGAAGCTGATTTGTGAGTTACTTGCACATGACTTTCGGCAGCGATCGCTATTGGCTAATTGATTTTTCCACGCTGGCACAATGACACGAAGTATACACAGAAGTTGAGGTTGTTGTCCTGGTGGTAGGCTGCCTATATAAATTTCGAAGTACTGTAAGTATCGTAGTCAGACTTTAGAATTAGAAGCAACCTTCGAAGTAGTCTCGAGGACATCTGAACATTATATATATTTATAATTGACTAGGCTATCTTAACACTATTGTTATTATTTAATTTAGCTAGGCCTATATTTCCAGATTTGCTTCAACGATTACATCGCATCGTTCTACTGTAGCAGCTAGCTAAACCCTTCATTCCATCGATTCCTCCTCTCTCAACTGGGAAGAAAATCCAAGATGAAGAAGATCGTTCACCTTGGCTTAGCCTGCATTTTCATCGGGATGGTTGCTTCCAAGCCTGCCGACAATCAAGCACACGGTAAAGATCGTGTTAAAAATCAAAAATTAAGTCATGAAGAACACTTTGATGGCGATGGCCACAATACTGATTATGATCATGATGCATTTTTAGGAGAAGAAGAGGCAAGAACATTTGAAGATCTGAGCCCAGAGGAAAGCAAGGCCCGGCTTGGGTAAGTAAAGAACATAAGTTCTTTCTTTCGTTTTGCAAGTTACAGTAGACCAATAACATAATTACCTAGGTTTACCTGTTATGCTTTGCTAACGTTATTAACCTGCGGTGCTATGTGGATATGCGATAATTATTATTATAAGTCTAGTTGCATGATTAGTAAACAAAGACTGGAGATTGGTTGAATCATGGTTGAATAAAGCCATTGGTTTGTGTTGGATAATAACAATACAAATCAAAACTGAACTTAATTAGGCTTATCACGTACAGACACAGTACTTTAATTTACCTAATACCATGTTGCTTTCTGTATAATACCAAATGTGCTATTCCATTAAAATTGCTGCTTGATTTTTTAATAATAACCTGATTGAACTATGAAAATTAAAATTAATTTTGATTGTAAATGCAGAAATGTTTAAAGACATTATTATTATTATTATAATAAAAGCAACTGTGGTCGCTACCAAACAAAATGGAAAAGAAAGGATACATGAATAATTTTTTTTTTTTTTTTTGCCCTACCTGACATTTTGTCTCTGCAATTGTTTTCACACATACTGAAATCATATCATATCAGGTAGAACAAAAATTACACCTATACTTGATTCTCCTGACGCAAATCCAGTTATTGTCTATTCCATCACGACAATAACTGTAGTGATTTATATGGTTCTGGATAAAGCAAGTGAAACAATGTTGGCAAAGTGAATTTCACTATACTACACTTTCACTACAGTTGTTTTGTGCAATAGTGAAAAATGTGCCTTTTGATGTCAAGAGAATATGACATACCATAACTTAAACTAACTAATTGCATAGTAATTTGAAATGAGATCCAAATTAATTATTAATAAAACTATACAAATATTGAATATAATATTTTAGAACTTACTAATGGTCGGTGGTCTTACATATAAATGATTACTACTATAGTAAACCCAGGTACTAATTTTGACTTGCAAGTTATGAATTAAGAAATAATATGCATATTAGATATTTAATGCATTTTATTATTTAAAGAAAAAAACTAGATTTCTGAACAAATTGCTGGAATTGAGGCACATGGTAGTGATGAAGCAATAGCTTTAATTACCAGTGAACCAGCCAACCAGAGTATTGTTGCTATGACAACTTTGTGATCTAATTTCCGTCTTGCATGTCATATAGATGACCCTGTCTTTAAGAATTTGCCACGTTGGCTCTGAGGAGCTATATTTAACCTTGTGTGTGTGTTGTAAATACATCCTCCAAGTTATTAAAGTGAAAATATATTGACTTACTTAGTGTATAATCTAGTGACTATAATTTTTTTTTCATGGTCTCATTGTCAGATAATTTTGTATTCTCCATAATTCTTTCTATATTTATCATTCTATTCTTCCTTTTTAATAAACAACTTCTTCCATCAGTTAATCACATTCTTCAACCTTATTAATCTATTCATTTATTCATGCTTTATTCAGACAAAAATATACAAATAACCAAAACAACTGAATAACAATTAACATTAAAAAAAAAAAGATTATGATAATAATATAGCTTGTGATAAATTGAATGCCTTTTAGGGTATAATATTGTAGTTACTTGTAATGAAAGCCTATGTTTTACTAGTGGGTGTTATTGTATAAGTAATTACATTTTTCCATTTTGTAATATGTAAAGTAAATTTCATTGCTGCTGGAATTGAGGCACATGGTAGTGATGAAGCAATAGCTTTAATTACCAGTGAATCAGCCAACCAGAGTATTGTTGCTATGACAACTTTGTGATCTAATTTCCGTCTTGCATGTCATATAGATGACCCTGTCTTTAAGAATTTGCCACGTTGGCTCTGAGGAGCTATATTTAACCTTGTGTGTGTGTTGTAAATACATCCTCCAGGTTATTAAAGTGAAAATATATTGACTTACTTAGTGTATAATCTAGTGACTATAGTTTTTTTTTTCCATAGTCTCATTGTCAGATAATTTTGTATTCTCCATAATTCTTTCTATATTTATCATTCTATTCTTCCTTTTTAATAAACAACTTCTTCCATCAGTTAATCACATTCTTCAACCTTATTAATCTATTCATTTATTCATGCTTTATTCAGACAAAAATATTATACAAATAACCAAAACAACTGAATAACAATTAACATTAAAAAAAAAAAAAATTATGATAATAATATAGCTTGTGATAGAGTGAATGCCTTTTAGGGTATAATATTGTAGTTACTTGTAATAAAAGCCTATGTTTTACCAGTGGATGTTATTGTATAAGTAATTACATTTTTCCATTTTTTAATATGTAAAGTAAATTTCACTGCCTCAAAAAAAAAAAGATAAATGTAACATTTATTACAACAATTTATTATTCTGTTTTTAAACTTATTTTTGAAATTTGGTTGGCTTGAATTTTTAGGGAAATTGTTGAAAAAATTGATGAGAATAAAGATGGCAAAGTAGATGTAGATGAATTACAACGTTGGGTTGAAAAACAACAGGTGAGTATTCCACATTATTAGAGGGTACACGCTTCATTTTGGCATGTATTGTTTTGCATTACTAACTACAGTACTGTACTAAACTAAAACCTATTATGCAAGTTTCCTTGAACTAGTAGAAAGTTGTATAATATCATTATGCTTTTTTTATGCATGAATCTTGATTTTTACACTAGATGTCAAGAACTGGTACAAAGATATATTAGAGTGTCTGCGATAAACAATAAAAAAAAAAACCTTAGAAATATAAAACATTATTTTACTGCACATTTAAAATATGTTATCAGCCACTATTCAATAAGACAAATATATTTCTAATTGATTGCAGTTTACTGGTACAGTACTCCAATACGCAATATATGATATATCAACCGTATTTATAATTTATTTACGTATTTATTCTAATTTTCAATTAAAATGAATGTAATTGACAACTAATAAAGGCATTAGGAATTTTTTTTTTCAAAGTGTTTTTGATTATTCTAATTAATTATGTGCCACATCATCACAGTGGTTGACCTCTGATTGTTTATTTCTCTGAGGTTAAGAGATTAATAGGCTGATGTTATCTATACCAGTAGAAATGTGTTAAACGTGGCATGGAACTCTAAATTGGTTAACCAGTCCCTACACTTAATACACCATTCCTTACTATTCTAGCTTTAATAAGGGCTTTGTCTGGGAAAAAAAAATTAACACTGTAGTTGTGATGGTGAATCAACTGTCTTGTAGAATGCATCCAGCATGCTCTGATTTAATAGGAATGTTTGTTAAAATTTTAAAAAATACTGCTTTTTGAATATAATAAGAACTACATTTTAACAAGCCTCAATAAGTTCTTATAGGTTTTTGTTAATTCAGGGGCTTAACTGTTTGCTACTGTTCAAAATGATACCATTTCAGCTGACACTATAAAACATTGTATCACATGGCCCCTAGAAAAAGACCCCGACAGAAAAAGGCCTGCTAAAAATGGCCCCAAATGACAGGTACACCTATGGTAGTGTATTATAGAGGATATTACACTCCTAAAAGAAAAACAATAAAAACTTAATTTGACATTTTACCCTAGCCTCAATTTGTTCTTAATTTTTAAGCAATTTTAGCCTCAGCGTTCTTATAAAAAAAAAGTGTATTTTCATCAGTCTTATAGCAGGCATGTAGTTATGGTGGGTGGGGCCACCCAGTCTGAAGCTAATTTTATGCCCCTCCTTCCACCCACCCTTATTAACCCACTTTTCCATCCTTAAAATCCACTCTTATTATCTATAGTTTAGCAATGTTACCGTGCACCCACCCTCAAAATGTCTATCACCCACCCTTAGTTATCTTTAGCTACAACCCTGTTATAGTATACATACTTAGCGATAATAATGTAGTTAAAAATGCGCCTCAGTATAATAGTAGAGCTAAGTACGATCAATACATAGAGCGTCATCAAATTTGAAATTATTTTTGCTATAATCTCTTATCAGTCAACCTTAATTAAATTTCCAATATTGATGTTCTGAATGAAATATTGGAATAATCACTTCTCTGAAGCTTTATCCATGCTGTGAAAATTATACAAAATTATGCCCATATATGGATGTAATTAATATGACATCATCATGTCCATATACAGTATGGGCAATCCACACAAATATTATTGTGTGGATTAAGCTTTACTCATTGCATGAGCATTCACCAATTCCCAGGCACTTTGCTGGGGGCACATTTATGGTTCAATAATACATAATTAATGACTGTACTAATTTTTTTCTTTTCTACATTCTGAATGCTGAATCTAACAATTTTGGTTAATTTTTTTCTGACACTCTTTTGTATTTTTTCTTTTTCTTTTTTTTTCATTAAAAAAAAAATATATATATATGGTCCTTTTCAAAGCTTAAATTATTGTGTTATTACCTCAATTTTTCTGGCCAAACAAGCGAATATACATACAGTTTCTTATACACCATGTTCATTGTATTTATAACAGGCAAACAAAAAATTTGACTTGATTTTTTTTTTTGCATGTTAATTATTACAGAAATTTTCACAGTTTTCGGCTTTCTTTTATTTGCATGCCCGCTGACCAAAATTTTTGATTCAACATCTTATAACAGTTTTGTTTTTTATAATTTGACTTTCAGAAATCTTATGTATTTAAAGATGTTGACACCCAATGGGTAGGCCACAATGTGGATGGGGATGATAAAATTACATTTGATGAGTACAATAAAACATCGTACAGCGGTTTACCTGGTGAGAGAAAATTCCAACACATTACTCAGCTAAATCAACATGTGTATACATAAACACAACAGTTTAAACAAACCCCAGCTCTGTCATTCTTGTAAAATTGCATGTTTCACTCACTGGAGAAATTAAGAAAAGGCCTAGAAAATATTATAAATGATTGAGGTGATCGATTTCAAAATCAGTTTTTTTTTTCTTTCTTTTTCATAAATAAAAAATGTATTTCTTTCATCCCCCTTCTTCATTCTGTCCCCTTCTTTCTGTCCCCTTCTATTTTTGTTTTGGAAAATGAATCAAAACAGTGACAATTGTGTTTATGTGTTACTATTGTTGGTATAGCTTTTTTAGGGTTTGATATGATCATGTCCGGTGTTATATGCTTACCCACACAGAATCGTTACATCTCTGAACATACTCATGAGCGTTGGCAATTGCACAATACTGATAGTGATAACTATTTGACCTTGGACGAATACATCAAGTCAACATATGCCTCTACTGGTGAGGATGTTGCCTCTTTATTTGTAAACACATATTTTTTGGTGCTTCGGAATTTTAGCTTAGACTCCCATCCCTTCGAATCCATGGAAGTGTTAGAGAGTGTTATAAGACCAAAAATCCAAAATTATACGTACTGTCCTATAAAGTCCAGTGCAGACTAATTTTATTTGACAAAAATATGGTCATGATGACATCACATAATGACCATATATAGGCACATCATGACTATATATGGGAATACAACAGTTTTTGTGGAAGAAAATTTGATAATCTGAACAGGGATTTATACAGTACAGTAATGTTTAGCAACACACAATAATTTTCTAAACATTTTGATTTTAACAGAGGAAGAATTATTAAAGCTTGATGAAGCCGAGCAGATCGACTTCAAAGAGATGATCAAGCGAGACAAACGGCGTTGGAATGGTGCTGACCAGAATGGAGATGGCAACCTCAACAAGGATGAGTTCTCTGCCTTTCTTCATCCTGAGGAATTTGATCACATGAGAGATGTTGTCATTGATGAGACGATGGAAGATATCGACAAAAACAAAGATGGAACTGTCTCTCTTGAAGAGTACATAGGTAAGTCAGTGGTTGAGTAAAATTTGAATGATAATTTCAATTAAAATCATGTTTAATACTATAAATATAAAGAGTTCATGTATTACAAGTTTCCATCTAATTAAAGACCACTTTTGGGACCAGGGTTTCCATGGTCTTTCACAGCTTTGGTCTCTAATTAGAATAATATGATAAGAGACATTAGTTAATATAGGACCAAAGAAAAGTGGTTTTTAATTGGAGGGAGACTTGCATTTGCAATCGAATATGTTGATATTGGTCCTAATGTAACATAACATTTGTTTTATATATCATCATTTACAATATGCCTTTAATCATCAGGAGATATGTTTATTCCTGAAAATGGAGAGGAGGAACCAGATTGGGTGAAAACTGAGCGCGAGCAATTCGGTCAGTACCGTGACAAGAACAGTGATGGAGTAATGGACAGAAAAGAAGTTGGAGACTGGATCATGCCTAGAGATTACGACCATGCTTTAGCAGAAGCAAGACATTTAATCCACGAATCAGATAAGGATGGTGTAAGTTGCTTTTTTTTTCAATTCTGGGAAATTGGTATGAATACCTTTGAATACCAGAAATAATCTATGAATCCGACAAATGGTTATGCACAGATTGAGAATTGTGACTTGATTGTAAAGTTTCTGCTTTCTATTCTGAACGACGGGTGATAAACAAACATAGGCCTATATTAAATAGAGTTTGTGAGTGTTATAAAATTTAAAAAAATCGGGTCAGTGGCCTCTCTGATGGTAGGGAGAGGATGCCAACCAATTATTTTATTTTACATGGCCTAATGAAAATTCATCTAAAGTATGTATCAGAAGCCAAATGAAATTATTTGAATGTAATACATAAATGAAATACATAGTTGCCACAGATTTATCAAAGCTTTACAAAAAAAAAAACAATTGTCATAGACCTTCATCAGATCATTACAGATCATCACAAATCTCTGTGAACTGGGTAATTGTGCTGGTGATTGATCCCACTACCAATTACATTAACATTAATTTTGTTTTCTTTTTAGGACAAGAAACTCACCAAACAAGAAATTATCGACCAGTACGACCTCTTTGTGGGTAGTCAGGTGACAGACTTTGGAGAAGCTCTTGTTAAGCATGATGAATTTTAATTTGTCAAAACGTTTCAATAATCTTATAACTAATTTCTGTGGTGCTATTTTTTAAAACTATTCTGTGTAAACCAGCTAGAATTTATTATTACATATCAATGTTTTTTTTTTTAAACAAATTATTATAACTAAGTATTATTAAAGCCAAATGTCATCATTTTATTTTATTTGGCAAAATTCATGGACTCTGTAGATTGACAGAAAACAATACTGTATGTAGAATGTTATGCCCCCAGTAAATGCTCTAAATCCTTATACTGTTCATATATAATTATTATGAAAGATTGCTCAGGTCTTGTGTATTTATAAAGAAAAAACAGCGATATTAAAGTAAGATGTCTTCTCACTGTTTAAAGCCAGGCTCCGGAGGAAAAATATTTTCTGATATGCTGTAGAACTGATTTTTCCAAGATATAAAAAGCATATTTGACAGAAAGGACAGAAGCGATAAGCGAGATTTAGATTTTCGAATATTTAAAAACTGGGGCAGAAAGGGTTGGTTATGGCCACTCCCCCCCCCCCCCATTTTTAAATATTCAAAAATATGTATCTCAAGTACCACTTCAAAGTTAATGTCAAATATGTTTTTTGTGTCTTTGAAAAATCACATCTACAACATCAAAAATTGTTTATCCTCTGGAGTATGGCTTTAAGCAAGTAAATTGTTCTTCTGAGGCCACTTTTTATCTTTTGTCGCTACAGCAATAGGGTGTGAAGGTATGTCATGTAGTTTAGGTTACTGTCACGTAGTCAGTTTATGGGGCTGTAAAGACATTAAATGTAAATTTCCATAGTCTTTAGGTTGTATTTTTGTACATTTGATATGACTATGATTTTATGATAAATATGCCATTGACGACTAACTATGCCAATGTATAGAGCTCAGCTTGATCTTAGAAATGTTTTTTACCGATGCAGTGCTAAGTTTGTGTGAAATAGTTTTGTTTAATAGTAAAGTTGTATTTGTTTCAAGACTGTCTTAATTTAGTAGTTACAGTACAGTAGTTTACTAGTATAGATTTGTTAGTATTGTATTTGTTTAAAGTCTGTCTTTAATTTAGTTACAGTACAGTAGTGTACTTGATTAGATTAATAATCTCTGATAATTCTGTATTGCATGAAATCTTGTTGAATGTAGCGTGTAACAAGAATATTGTTAACAATTTTAGCTACTTGTTTGTTCATCTTAGATAACATTTTCTTAAATGACAAGGAATTGATTTCTGATAACACAGCATTCTAACATTTTATAAGAAATTTAAAGCAGCACCAGAAAAAATTTATTCTGATATTGTTTTTAATCTGTAAATGAAGACATTTCTTCATTTCCACAAGTTGCAGATGCAGCAAGTTAATATATGCTTGGGTGGGTGGAGACTGAGACTCTTGTCCATAGGCTTTTAAAACAAATTTGCAGTCATTATGCAAATAAATTATTTTTTTGGTTTCAAGTGGGTGCTAAGTATAATTGCAAAATAAATTAATTTCGCACTAATAGTTTGTTGTCTTTGGTCATTTTGCTCTGCTTACTTATATAGTAATTTTATCTTTTACAGACCTATACGTCTATAGCATAACTTTTATCATAATAATGTAATACACATTGAGGCATTTTGTGGAATATGCTATTGAGGAATGACTCGATGTTAACATCCAAGCTTTCATCAGACCTGAATATCAATAATTAGCATACAGAGGGGAGGTCTACGCCACATTGACCTCACCATGGTAGGGTTTATATTAATATTAATGCCTAAAGCTGGTTACTCACTACGTGCGACAGCGACGAAGAACGCACGCGAGGACGCGGACCCAACGGATCGTCTTTTAATGATACGTTCAGATTGCCACTGACAATCAGCAGACGGCGTTGCGTTGTCTATCGCTCGCCAGAAGCAAATGTGAACTTGTCGTGCGACCGTCATATGACGCAGTGAGTGTCCAGCTTAAATTGCCATAAATGCTGTTTTAAGCAATCTGTTTCATTGAGAGTACAGTATATTGCACTATTTGCTGTATGAATAAGCCTATGTAATACACAAATGCATGGCTTTTAACTACAATTTACAAATGGATGCAGGACTGCGGCGGTAAAACAGTTTTTGCATGAGTTTGATGCTGAATGCAAGACACCCCACCCGACAGGCCTGTTGGGGCAAAGCTCCCTTGAACAAGCATTTTAGCATGCAAATTGTGAATTTGGTTTGGTGTATCAGCGGGTGGGTGCTCAATCAAAAAAGCAAATTTATCCAAACCATAATTACCACCCTTGTTATGGGCCTGATCTTAATACTGTAGCTCATTAACATCTCTAATTCGGAAAAAGAAATACAAATTTTTGAAAATGCAGTAATGTACTATGATTCAAATATATGAATATATTACCAATAGCTTATTACCCCAAAATGAATAGCATCTGTATTACTGTATTAAAATATTGTATCATAAATATTGGCAGATAAACACTTGTTGGGTATGCTCAACCCCAAATTTTTAGATCTTACAATTAAGAGTTGCAGCTATTGATAGCACATTTTGTGTTCGAACCTGCCAGGTACCTATGTGGCACTCTGACAATGTAGGTAGGATGCCTTGCCCAAGGACACAAGTAAAACTCACAAGGAGGGACTGAACTCCGACCTCAAGGTTGAGAACTAAACTGTAACTACTGCAGCACTTACAGGCAGTTAATAAGTTTTATTCCATTTTCTAGTACTGTAAATATGAATTAAGTATAATACATACAGTATACTGTATATATGTATCATTACACACCAATTAAAATCTTTGTTACAAGACCAACACCAACTGGACTTAAAATTAGATTTCACACATACAAAGAAGGATAATTCTTTTACATGAATACATTTGGCTTGTACTGTATAAGGAAATCAGCATAAAAGTAAAATATATTATCTCAATAGTCTGAATGGACTATTTTGTTTTAATCTGCTCAACTTTCAAATCAGTAGCTAGAGTGTTCTGTAAAAAAAAAAAAATATAGTAAAACATTTATTTCTAGCTCTAATATTCTAAGCATGTATTTGGAGACGAATTGAATTGGTACAAGGAAAATTACGATACTTCCTTGCTAGCGTAGTGGCAGCACCAGCAGGGGAATTTCAGGGTACCATTGGAGAAGCAGCTAACTAAAACAAACACAAAATCAAAAAAGTAGCTATCAAATAAACTAACCCAACCTAGGTTAATTTCATCCAAGAGTTGCACAAGTTCCATAAGTTAAAAACTCATGAAACTGTGATCACTTGGGAAACGACCTCTATACAAGCTTACTACGTGTTAGCTACGAGTGAGATACGACCTTAGGGAGTTAAAAGTTATGTACGAATTATGCTGAGCGAAGCAGAGTTTAATATGAGCTTTACGAGATAATTATGAGCGTAACGAGTTTGTGCCGAATTAGATATTAGTTAGGTACGAGCCAACCCGGTGTGCTTGTACTTAGCTCGCATGTAACTCATGGATAAGCAAACCGTCAATGAGTATTCCGAGTAGTGTTCAAGTTAGGTAGGAGTACCCTAAGTACTCTACAAGTTCTTCGAGTTTACTACGAGTTGCCAACTCATAGCGCTAATTTTGAACATGTACTCACAGGGGCTCTAGTGAAAATTATATCTAGCTGGCCTATACTAACGTCCTGTAACATTTAGCTTTTTGTCTCTTGTGAATTAGACTAATAACAGACAGTGTACTTACAAGGTGATCTACCAGATTTCTGTGGTAGGACAAGCCTCCATCTTTCGCTACCTTTTCAATATGCTTCCTTTCAGGGTCACCTGCTACAAACACTTCCTTTTCACTATCAGCCTGGCATGAAAGAAAGCAAAGTTATTAGCCTATGATTTTTTTTTTCTTTCTTTATGAATCACCACTCCCTATAGCAAATTTGAAAAAAAGTCCAATGCCTCAAATTTTTTTTTGAAAAGCTCACTTGACCATGTTTAGAATAACCAGAACAAATCAACTATACTCCCCTGTAATTAAATGAGAATAATCAACTCATATTGCCCAAATGATCAGCTATTCTGGGACCACCATAAAAAACAGTTGAAAAACACATAATAAAAGTAACAGACAAATAAATAATAACTATACTTGTACAAAGTTATTGAGAGCTTACAGGGGTAGCATTACGATAACAGTTTAAAAATGATTGCATTCGGTCTGGAAATCCTGGAGCAAAGGCCTCTGGGTTAATGGCAACAAAACATTGTCCCTACAAAGAACAAGAAATATGTTAAAGAAACAAAAAAAAATTTTTTTCATTTTATTTATGAACATTTGGTAAACAATAGGCTACCTGGAGAGGCCAGAAATTAACATAGTCATCATGATCTAGCCTTCCCCCTTAACTAAATTTAAATCTATAGACATACAGCAAAGGGAGGGGAGGGGGTGAATGTGCAAGCTTTTTACATCAATATGGGATAAACTTACCAGATTTGCTACACTGCCAGTATCTTTCCAATCCCTAACATTTGGACCATAACTTGCACCTCCCAGAATTCCACAAAAGAGCTCCACCATCATTGCCAGTCCATAACCCTATGAAGAAACAAAATGTAACATATAAACTTTTACTGAATTTTGTATGTAATACCATGCTCATTTTAAACACAATTTGTACATCATGGCCCTAGAGTAAAGCTACATTCACACTAGACACGATAAAAAAAACTCAGTGTTGAAGAATATAAACGATGTAATATGTCATCGTGTCATTATTGTGTCTAGTGTAAATGCAGCTTAAAACAGCCTATGCTGAATTTAGGAGGGCCATCTGTGATGAAATAAAATGTGATTATTATATTATCATTATTATTATAAATATTATTTGATATATATTTATTTATTACATTATTTATTACAAGAAATATGAGGCTTCCCATTCCAGAACCAGCGTACTGTCGCTAATTGTTAAACTGAATAATTAGCATAACAATGTGGCAGTATTGTACAAAGAGGCCATAAACTCATAACTTTGGCAATAGTGAGTCGATTCCAGTAAATTCCATCATTCTAAAGCTTATAATGTGGATAATACATTAAAAAGAGAATACAATTTCCATTTTTGGTTCAGTGATGCTGGTTTTGGATGCAAGTCTCATATATTTAATAATAATTAATATGTGTATCAAAACCATTGTTGTCATCATCATGTCACTGTCATCATCATCATCATCATCATCATCATCATCATCATCATCATCATCATGACAACCATTATTAAAGATTAAATACCTTGTAACCACTGCATAGCTCAGTACCCCCAAGTGGCAATAGGCTTCCTCCATTCAAAATAGCTTTTGCATCATTAGATACCTAGAAGAAATGTGTAAATTTATGAACATTATCAACATGAATTTACTGGTATAAGAAAAACAAAAAGACGCTTAAGATGAGTCATACCTGTCCTGTCGAGTCTGATCCCCATCCATCTGGTATTGGAAGGCCCTTTCTGTCATTTAACTCAATCTATTTAGAAATGAAATCAAAAGTTATGAATAAATGACAAAATCAATCAAACGATACTCAGTGGCTACTTGTTTGACATAAAACGAGCAACGTACAACGAACAACCAGCTCTCCACTATCTACCGTTGCATTATATTTTTTATATTTTATTTTTTTAATGCATTTTAATTATTGTGCAATAGTTTATTAAGGTTTCATTACATCAAATCAATTTCTTCTTTGGAGATTTCTAATTCTGATCATGTGACTTGTAAAGCAGCATGCAGACTATTATAGTAAAGTACTATTGCGAGCCATCCCAAAACCAGCATCAGTCACCAACAAATGAAAAATAATAATAATAATAATAATATGTCGTTCTTATATAGCGCTTCATGCCTTTACAAGGCCTCTAAGCGCTTCACATTACTACCCCGGTCATTGGATCAAACACATATGGAACACATTGAAACACCAAATTAAATGACTTTTCAATATACTGTATTCATATTCTCCACATTATAAGCTTTAAAATGATTGGCCACTTACTAGAATTGACTTACTATTGCTAAAGTTATGAGTAAAAGTATTACGGATCCTCTGTTCTAAAGTATACAATAGAGCCACATTCTTATGCTAATTACTCTCTTTAACATTTAGCAAAAGTATGCTGGTTTTGGAATGGCAAGCCTCATATAATAGAAATACTATGGATTGATGATCATATCACTGAGGCGATCCCTGATCATATATTCAATTGTAGACAGAATCTGGCAGCACCTACCTTTCCAAATGCCACAGCTGAAGTTGCCATATCAAGAACGAAACTGTCATCGCCAATAGCAGAAGCACCACATGCTATCGGATTTGTTCCAATTGCTGGCTATATAATTTTTTTAAATAATAAAATGTGTTATTGGAATACATCTGAATAATAACGTACAAAAATAACACTTAAAAGTGGGTTTTGAGGGGCCATGGTTCAAATTATAGCCCGAGGTGATCTGGAGGCTGTACTGTGTCCTGAGAAGAAGTTGAGGGACATAGTACAGCCAATTTTATTAAGAACGCAACACCATGAAGAACGCGCAACAGATCATTTTTAATATTAATCCATTCAGATTGTCACCAAGAATCACAGCAGACGGCATCATGTTTTCTAGTGCTTACAGCGAGCAAAGAGGGTATTACGACAGGGTATACGACCCACTGAGTGCCTGGCTTACAAGAAACCCTGCTTATATAGAATATTAAATTTTGCTCTTTGGAAGGCATCTCACATAACTAACCTTCTGAGCGCGTGTTGGTGTTACTACAGGCGAGGTGTTAGTAAAAGACATTCCAATTAAGCCTTCTTGCATTGCTTTCAGGGCATACCAACCGGCTATGCCATAGTGGTTGCTACCTAAACAAACCAAATCATAGCTTGATTTGTATTCAATAAGCATACAAAAATACATGTGAAACAAAGAAAATAACATTACATATGGCAAGGTCTGAAGCATAACACGATCAATCTTAATCACTGTGTTGAATATTCTCCAAACATTAATTGCACGAAAAGAAAAATAGCGCTTTGGTCACATAAAAGATTGTTTTTAATGCTAAACAAACAGACAATTGCTTCAATGAACAGTAATGTAATGTAATGTAATGTGATGTAGTGGGATTTGGTATAGCGCATTATACCGAAGTCTCAATGCGCTGGTGATGTGTGGACTAGGAACTCAATCAATGACTTTCTTCGCCCCTAAGGGTCCCTTCATGTCTGTGCTACCCGGTAAC